TGTCGGGAGGTGAGGGTGGTTTCAACCCTTCTACAATTTCTTTCACGTTTCTTCGATCACTGAAAGAAGGCTCATCCTCTGAAATGCACTTTTGTCAAATTTCATCCAATTTGTTTCACTCGTTTTTGAACACAAAATAGTTATTTTTGTATCTAGAGCGCGAAATGCTACTTTGGTGATCGAGATCTGATTTTTTTACGAGGCGTAGCCGAGTTAAAAAAATAGTCGAGATGACCAAAGTATTTCGCGCTCGAGTTGCAAACAAATTTTTTTCTACAAACGTCAAAAAATATAGTTCTTAAGTAAAAATATGCTTAGCTTGATATAGAAAATAGTGTTGAACTGGCTTTAAAAGCCTCCTACTATCCTTCCTCGGTACGCACGATGTTCCACGAGCATAATAGGGATTTTCTTTCGTGCGATCCAAGAGATAAAACAAAGCTATTGGTGAACATTCAGAAATGAATGATTTCGTGAATGTTTGCTCGATTGGGGACCATAAAGTTGAAATATAAATATCTCATATATTTTACATAACAGTGCGCGAAGTAGGTACTTCGCGCACTGTTTTACTTCGCGCATTGTTATGTGCAAGGTATCATGGTAACGTAGGAAACTGAAAAAAAGTGTCACTTCGCAATTTGTTATCAATGCGCGAACCTTGTCATTTTTTGACGTTTGTAGAAAAATATATTTTTTTATGTAAACTTTGAACGCTGCGCCCTGACTTCAACCTGGGACACACTCTGTATATTATGTATGATGATAATCATGATCAGAGGAAACTTGGCATGATATAGAATTGGCAGCTTTCTCATTGTTTTTGCCAAAAAAATATTTTTAGATCGGTGTCTATGTATACGAGGTAGGTTCACTTTTTCACTTTTTTTTTAAATTAATCCTTGGGGAATTAGCATCCAATTACTAAATTGATAACTAATCAGTTTAAAGGAATTTGAGAAAATAATTAGCTTGAAAAACATTTCAATCCAGTGTCGAGCGTTTGTTGTCATGAAAAAAGTATTATTATTGAATTCAATATAATCACATTAATGAAAATAATATCGAGGCTAAATCCACAAAACAAACGATAAACAATATAAACCTCACGTTTTAGATTAAGTAGTACGATGTTTGCATTCGCACTACTCTTTGGTATCTATCATTATTTTGATACATGTATTGTTGAATATTTTTAGCACTGACAAATAACATATCACCATTCATAATGATATAGTTAATAAATCAATTCTTCTCGTGCATGCATAAATGGTTTCTTGTATTCTTGCATTGAGTACACATTTTTGTTTAGAGTTTTCTACCAAAAACTTATTCCAGTCGAATTTTCTTAAAATTCTTGTCATGGAAAGTTATCTGCTGTCATCATTGTCCCAATGATCACAGTTCCGAAACCAATAAAAGAATGAATATATATCCGGAAAAAATAATATAGATATTTCAAGATGTCGTATCTATCAAACATGTTTTTCTCCTGATCCATTATGCACAAAAAACTTGTGAGGAAATGAAGTTCAACACATCATACACTCTGCTATACATGTAGACAAAATCAAGAATTTGTCACAAACCAAAAAAAAATTACAATATGACGTATATTTTTTTTTATGTTCTAGTTCCCACGAAAAGGGATATTCTGTTATTTCCAGGGAACATCGTGAGAACCAAGGTAAATGAGGTAGGAATTGCTGTTCTTCTTAAATTTTTGAAGGTTATATGCCTCGGGGAAAACCTCCCTTGGCAATGTATTCCAGAGCCTCGCTGTTCGTTGGATGTCTGGAGTCTTTGGAAAGAGATGTTCTGCAGGTCTCCAAAGTGACCACGAAGGGGTGCGAAGCCTCAACTCGACGGGTTATCTCGCGGGGACTGCCAAGGGAGAAACAATTGTTGATATTTCAGAAGAGCATCGTCCATGAAAATATCTAGAAAATAGATCCAGATCGCCAACTTTCCTACGGTGTTCCAGAGTAGTGAGTGAGTTTGTGAGCGAGGCATCACCCACGAGACGAATTGCTCTTTTTTGGACAGAATCCAACAGCTTCAGGGTATGTTTGGGTGCACTCCAAATATGGGAACAGTATTCCAGGACAGTTCGGATCTGTGCCTTATAGATCATAAGCAGCTGACTGGAAGTGAAATAGCCCCTGGCCCCGAAACAGAAAACCAAGTTTTTGGGATGCACTCTTAGCAATTGATCTCACGTGATTTTCCCAAGAAAGGTTATTGCTGATAGTAATACCAAGCATCGAAATGGACGTCTTCAAAGGTATGGTTACTCCTGACAAGCTTATGTTGGGCACAGTGAGATCGGATTTTCTAGAAAAAAGGCATGCTTGTGTTTTGTTTGCATTGAAATCTACCAAGTTATTGGATCCCCATTCGAGAATTGTTGCCAAGTCCATATATGAATTTGCGAAAAATATTTATGTACATATATTTTTCGAGAATTCCAAATTATTGTTGTATCTTTGATTCCATCCAGAGAGGAGCCATTCGTCTGGTGGGTGATGCCAAACTCACTAGTACTCTGTCCTCATTAGAACACGACCGTATATGAAAGTCGGCGACAGTTCACTTTTCTATAGGTACTTCAACGAAAAATATTCTTCAGAAATCTCTGCTATCATTCCATCACTAGCAATACTAGTCAGGCGAACTCGACAGGCCCAGTCAGCACATCATATTCGTTGTCAACTTTGAAATATGTCGAACAACACTCTACCAACACTCGTTCGTCTATAGAACGGCAAAGCTTTGGATTTCTTTGCTAAAAGAAGTATTCCGAAGAACTTACACAGAGAGACGTGGGTTGGCAGGGGGGTCATTTCCTATCGAACTATAACCATATATGTGGTTATCCAATTGTTGATGGTCTTAAAGTTTTTTTTTTTTCATTTCTATAAAAAAATACGATAAAGCTTTGTCACATTTGTAATTTTTTCTTTGACACATTCCATCCACATGGATACACCCATCCAGAAATAATCTTATTACATATGTTACTTCTTATCAATTACCTGTTGATTTCCTTAAGTTTTGTCATTGAATGAAATATTTCAGTTGATTTTTAAATGCCGCTGGCAGATTTGAAAACTACCCCACAAAGATTACCAATTTCAAGAAAAAGTTGCTCATTTAATACATGGGTCGCGTTTGATCTGTGTTGCGTATAACCTCCAAAAGTTCAAAATAATCCCAATATATACCTGCCTCTTCTCTCTATCCTTCCTAGATGCACAATACGCATTGTTTCATTCAATCGATAATCGATGACACCTTGTTTGAAAAATGTTTGAAAAAGAGGAAGAAGAAGAAGAAGTCGTACAGAGATGTATGTGGAAAAATTTTTAAATTTCAATCATCTTTGGACGTTTTGGGCAAGGTCTATACGTTTTGGCAACTAATCTGCTTCCGTTTTCAACATAAAACTGGAAAATAATTGTATTGATGGATCTTCCGCTTTCATCTAGTGTTGTTAGAAAAATGTGTGAGTTACAGGGTGTTTTTATAATTGATCTAATTGATTTATATACTCAGTTTTCAGATGAATATACCATATATATGATTTATCTACATTATTCTATATCAAGTAAACAGGAAGTAATATCATTATCTCCTTGTTTTTGGAAAGTATCATACAGAGGTGACACAAAAGAGACCTCTCAGTAAGGACAAAAGAAAAAAAATTGTAAGTGGCCAACAACCAGTCGCGTATACAGGGGGGGTAGTGGGGGTAAATCTCTCCCCTCAGACGATCGATGAAAATTCAGTGTATATCAGTCAAAAGTAAAATTAAGATTCACAAAATGAATCTTGTTTCATTCAACACGTAACATCCTAATCTATTTCTGCCTGAAAGCTAAAAAATGCCAAATCTGCAGCGTGCAAGTTTGTTTTTCATTCTGATAATCCAATTTATGTACTTACATAAAATCCTTCTAGCCGGTGTGATTTTGTCGATATGATAGCGAAAAAAGTTTCCGCTTTTTCCAGCAACCAAACCGAAAATTGCCATTAGAAAGCATGACAACAAAGTTGTAAACAAATGTTTAATGGTGTTTATGTCATGTTTGCGTTGTCAGAAAATTATCTAATCTGTGGAAACGTTGCGATTTGAACATCAGATTGAAAAAATCTATCAACAATAATGTGATTCAACGAATTCATCAAATTGTCTGACCGACTTACACTCAAGCAGTTTTTTCGGGTGGAAGTAAACTTATCATTTATTTAATTTGATTTTTGTTGCCTTTCCTAAATGTCTAACTGAATTTGAAATCATGTCTTTCCATCTCTATGAAGCTCCGCTGAGAAACCTATCAATTTAGAGCAACTTGAACAACAACAACATTTCGCCTGCGGCGCTTTCTGTCTTTATGTTACTTCCCCCCATGGAACAAAGCTATATAATGCGGCTGACAACAATATCAAGAAATAAGAATCAAAGAATCCTCAATCATCTTGCCTTCTTCTACCTTGAGATGATAACTTGTTCAGTTGATGTAAAAATAACATGTCTAAAAGACCCTGTAATTCACAGATTTTTCATCGGAAAAAATTAAAGAATTCAACACAGAGACATAATCAATCCAGTGTCCATTTAATCGCTCTATCCCGAAATAAAAATAGTATGGAAACAAGTTAAAAATAGCAAACACGCACTGAATACATGTGGAGTTCAGGGAACCGCAAATTTCCTATCCATTTGAACAAAGAAAAACACAAAACGGTTATTCATGTTTAATCACCTCAATTAATACGATGACTATTCTGTCTTTGAATAAGTTTTCACAAACAGAAAACTAACTATGTAGGAACAAAGGTAAAATGCAAAAAGCTCATTGCAATTGTTTGATAGACAAGAGCAATCTGAAGCTGTCTATAATCACACTAAATGTCGCATCTTTCCCAAAAACAATACGTTTCTGATAATTCTCTGAACAAAACAATAAAAAATAAACAACACAAACAAAGCTCCTTACGTTTATCAAAGCCGCTCCGAACACCACCATCCAACCCCAACCCCCATCAGGCGCAGCCGACGTTTCGACCTCCATGTCCCCCTAGTCGAAGAAAAAAACTGCGGCACCAGCAAAATGTCAGATGTCACTGAAACCAGCGGAATGTCCGCAGTCTAGTCCACATTTTACTATCTCCGCCAGTACTCACAGATTAGAGATTTGCCGATAAAACACACATCAGTTTTGTTGATAATCACCTTTACCTCGGTAATCACGAGTAGAACTGAGGTATTATCGTAGAAAAAACACTTGACTTATCCTATAGTATCACATTAATGGAGCGTGTTATTTGGAGTTTGGACCCGCGTAGTTTTTTTTAGCACATATTCGTTGGGTAGGTATACAGGGTGAGTCATGACTAACCAGCCATAGCCTAATATGGTAGATAGAGGAAGTCAATAAGGTGGGTTGGTATACAGGGTGTTGCGAAATTCGACCGACAACGCTTGACAGGTGATAGTCCTCGTGATTTCATGATCACTGAGATAGGGACATACGATCGTCAAGTGTTCAGTTCTCGAGATACAAGACCTTGATGTTAAGGAATTTAAATAGGTTTTTCGCAACATCTCAAGAGAAATTGTATATAATGCATTCGAATTCGGTTTTTGGTTTCATCTTTCAATGGTCTCTTCTTCTTCTTCTTCTTCTTCTCTGCACAGGTGGGCGGGTGCGTAGACCCCTGCACTCAGGCCTCTTCAGTCGGGCCCATTGTGCGCCCACTTGTCCTGTGAATCAGCTGGGCATGCCGATTTCTCTGACGAAATTCAGCAGCTTCCTCAGCTGAGTCACTTTCACATCCTTGGGGTGCAGTACAATGCTCCCAAAGGCAGCTTTCCTCTGATGCACCAGCGCGGGGCATTCAGTGAGTATGTGTGATGATGTTTCATCATCCTTTAAGCACCATCTGCAGATGGGATCATCTTTGATCCCTATGAGTTCTAGGTGCCTGTTGAGGTGGTTGTGCCTAAGAGCCCAACTACCATCTTGAGATCCCTTCTATTAAGTGACAGGATCTCTCTCGTGAGCCTTTTTGAAGGTTCCTTTATATGGAGCTTTGATTGTCTCATTCCTGGTGTGTCCCACCATGTTTCAAGGAACTGCCTCTGTAGCATTTACTTCATGAAGGACATAGCCGTACTATTGGGTATTTCCAATATCGGTTCTGGTCCAATGGATGTCGTTCCTGAACCGATCTTGGCTAGTCTGTCTGCTTCCTCGTTCCCCGGGATACCAGAGTGTCCTGGAACCCACATGAGGCTGACTTTCCTAGTTTTTGCCATATTTTCTAAGGCACTTCTACACTCGGACACCAATTTAGTTGTGATCCTATTGGATCTCAATGCCATAATAGCAGCTTTACTGTCAGAGCATATATGGTGACTGGTCCACGTCCACTTCTGCCGAAATTTTCTTGGACACACGTCAGAATTGCAAACACTTCGGCCTGGAACACTGAAGCGTATTTGCCAAGAGGTACTGAGATTCCTTTCCCTGTTCCTCCTTCATATACTCCTGCACCAGACCCGCCACCAAACCTTGAGCAATCCGTGAACCAGGTTGATTCGTTGGCAGGAAGCAAGCCTGGTGTATTTTTTTTTCAATGGTCAACTTTTTGACCAGAAAAACATTCCCAGAATTTTACCCAGAGGTGCGCTACAGAGGGTTGTGATTACTTTTCCTCCCATATTTTCTACGCCAATGATGAAATTTTGATCATTTTCAATGTCTCGAATTGATTGTTCAATTATGTTGAAAAACTGCTTCATCTTCAACTGAGCTATTTGACCCAAAATAGAAGTTTGCATAGTAATTTTTCATCTTCTTCAGTAGTAGAAGATTACAAAAATTTTTGTTTTCTATTTATGCGTGGAATAACTATTTCTGTTCAGCAACAGAATTTGATCTAAATAGTAACTGATCTTCTCAACACCAGAAAAATATTTTTGCAATTTTGTACAACTGTAAATGATGAAATATTACTATGCAATCTTCTATTTTAGGTCGAATATCTCGAAAACTGTTCATTTCAGCTCAGTTGAAGGTGATGCATTTTTTGAACAAAATCAAACAATGAATTCGAGGAATTGGAAATAATTAAAATTCAAGCAGTGGCGTAGAGAATATGGGAGGAAAAGTTGATACATCCCCCTGTAGGGCACCGCTGAATAAAATGTCCGGAATGGCTTCCTGGTCAAACAATGACCCATTCAGAGATGAAACCATATACCGAAGTTGAATGCATTATATTCAATTTTTCTTGAGATATTGCGAAACAACTCTATTTCTATTTCTTAACATTGAGTGATTATGAAATCACGAAGGCAATCAAGCGTTGTCGATCGAATTTCGCAACACCCTGTATATGTGCAAAAATATATTTTGCCTATTCGTAACGACATGCGGGGCATTATTTGAATTCGGGGCGAAACTTTGATGAAGGATATTCCAGGAAAAGTATCGATGTTATCGCCTGAAATTCACCAGCAACTTACCTTTACTGATACACCAGACGATGGCCTACAGTTGGAGAAAAAATCCAGAGCCGGACTTAAAAAACTCATTTTCTTTTCAAATGTCAAAATTTCGACTTTCTGAAACGTTTTTTTTTTTCAAAAACTTTCACCAGAATCAGAAAGATCATAAAAAACACTACAACCGGATTGGTGAAAAAATATCGATAAAAATACTGATGAACGATTCCATGATTCTGTTCTGGCTATTGTAGTCACATCGTTCAACAAATTCATTTAAATTCATTTCTTGCATATCGGTGTATTATGAGAGTTGGAAAGAGGTTCAATTCGATGAGGTACCGGTCTTACTTTTCTTGAGGAGACCTTTCAAAACATGGAAATAAGTAGCTAATTTTCAAAAACAAAATCCGATACCTACCTCCTTTCCCTATCCTCTCTAAGTACGCACGATGTTAGAAGATATAAAAAATTATTGCTTAGATAAAATATTTTTTCCTACGAGCGTGCGAAAAGTAGTAATTTTCCGCATCCATTTGCGTGCGCAAAGTAATACTTATTCGCACTCAGTGCGGATATGGGTGTTATCCGCACGGCGTGCAGATAAGTAAAACTACCCAAAAATCTCACTGGTAGACTATTGTATGCACTATAAGAAGCCGTTGTCCCTTTTATTGTTCAACCATTCTTCCCGATATTCGTATTTCACCTCAATATAAATATTAGGAACAAATGATTCAATTTTTTATCATTATATTTTATTGATATGTAATTGTTTATTGTTTAGCCGGAGTTCGAATAAGTTTTTGAAAAGTAACACTTTGCGCACTTGTTAGCAAAATAACTATTTCCGAATCAGATATATGTGCCAACTCATACTACAATCAGCGAATCAAATTGTGAGTTTGGTGTTTTCATTATTCAGGAAACACTACAAAAGGAGACTGTGATGGATGTATGAAAATGGACATGAGTAGGTATTTTTTCTTAACAGAATAGAGCACCTCCACATTACTCAATACAAGTGAGAGAATATCTAGATAAACAATTCTCTTATCGTTGGATAGGTCGTGGCAGCTCTCATTCTTGGCCCCCTAGGTCCCCTAATCTCACAGTATTAGTCTATTATCTATCTATCTATGAAACTATTGGTATATCAGACTGAAGTCAACACCAGAGAGGGACTAAGGAAGAGGATAGTTACAGATTCAGATATGATCAGAAATAATTAATAGGCAAATTATTCGAAAAACCATAAGAGATTTTCCGAAGATATGCAGAAAATGTATAGAAATTGGGGAGGAGGACATTTTGAGAATCTTCGTTGAAAAATATTAGGATATACAGACGAATCTTCCTCGAAAATTATAATATTTTTTCAAATTCTCTTCAAAAACCATCAAATCCGGTCCTGATTTTTTTTAAATACTGTTTCTGCTATATCAATACGCAAAAAAACTGATTCGAATACTTTTAGACGAATGTAGAGAGTGATGGCCCGGAAGAAATCGAAGAAATATATGTCTGAATTTTGTTTGATATTTTTTCACCAATCTGGTCTAACTGTGCCGTACAAATTGAAAAGCTATACTCGTAGTGTATTTCCTGATCTTTCTGATTCTGGTGAAAGCTTTTCAAGGATACGAATCACAGAATGTCGGAATTTTGAAATTTAAATAGAAAATGAGTTTTCCAAGTCCGGCTCTGGAATTTTTCCTCCATCGTAGGCCATCGTGTGGTGTGTCAGTAGAGTTAAATGAGCTTATATCACAAGAATTTTTTATTTCATAATTCGATAGAACTTACCCAAACTAGCTCACCACCGCAAACCGTTTCCTGCTGTGAGCTCCCTACGTTTCATAAAAAATTATTGAAATCCCCGATTTTTCGGACCTCTGAAAACGAGGCGATGATGTGACGTCAAAACCCTAATAATGAAACAAGACTATTCCAGACAAAGATGAATGATACATGATTTCTGACAGAGTGAATTAGCGCGAGATCACAGTTGAAAGAATTAATATATCAGTTGCCTCAGTCTCCGTCGGGCGTTTGGTATTTTCTTTTAACTATGGCGAGATGAGGTTTCTACGTCATAAGAGGGTCCGTTTTCAGAAGGTACTATTATTTATGTCCAAAAATAAAATATTCCCAGTTAATTTTTTGATCGAATTATGTCGTCATTCATTATTTATGTATAAAGGATCATTATAAACATGGTTTGAGTTAAAAGTTCTACTAAGGTGTACACGCCCATTGCTGGTGAATTTCAGGCGAAAATATCAATAAGACGTTCCTGAAATATCGTTCAGCAAAGCTTTGCCCCGAATCCAAATAATGCCCTGTATTTCTGTTAGGAATAGGCAGAATATATTTTTTCACATATACAGGGTGACATAGGAAAAAGTACATACTAAAATAAGAAAAAAAGTTCCTATGAACATGGGTCCGCAAGGCCTTGAATTACAATTTTTTTGGGTTTTCTTTGAATATCTTCAGCCAGAGACGCAAGAAATGGATAAAATGTGGTATACAGGGGTTTTTTATCATGCTAAATTCAAATATGATCTTAGTTTTGTGATGACTGATAGAGGGCGCTACATACAGGGTTCCATCCCTATTGAATCGGTCGTAACTTTTTTGCTATACACTGTATGTCATTTTCGACGGAAAAAATTTGTTATCCCTTATTTTATACTTAAGAAAGGTATACCTTGTCCAAGTCGCTAGAAATAATGGTTCCAGTACAAATCTTAAAGCCGCAAATTATTCAAAAAGCGCCAAAGTAACTCTTGCAAAAACAATGATAAATACTTCA